TTCTGGCCCCACACCACATGGTAAAGCATAACACATAATTCGGGTGCAATTGAGTTCAGGTTTAGGTGCAGGATTATTCTCTGACTGCTGAGGAGGTAGAAATGGGTCTTTGGGGACATGTGGGTAGGGCACTCAGTAACAATGAGCACTGCAATGCAGACAGACCCTATTGTGTCCCTAGAATCATGCTAAGTCTTGGCAGGAGGATATTTGGCGAAAGAAACACAAGCTCTGGACTTTGGAGGTGATGGGGATGACTTGAATATATACCCCAGCTTCCTTGGTATAGATGGTCTAAATGTGAGGCGCCCCTCTCTCATCCCACACCTACCCAAAGCTCGTGCTTTGAACGCTGGGTCCCTAGTTGGTGGAGCTGTTTTGGAAGGTTGTGGAGTTTTTAGGAGGTGGAGCCTAACTGGAGGAAGTGGTCCATAGGGGTGGGGCTTGTGGTTGAACAGCCAAGCCCTACTTCACATCCTCTCTCAGTTCCCAGCCACTTGACACTCTTGCTGTCACGCTTTCTCTCACCATGGCTGATGGACTGTATCCCTTTGAACTGTAAGCCAAAGCAAACCCTTCCCCTTTAAAGTTGCTTCTGGTCAGGACAGCAGTCTCGATAATGGGGAAAGTGACTAATACAAGTGTGCTTTTTTTGGTACACTGTTCACCTTCCTATATCTCAATTCCTTCTACAGAAAAGAACAATCACTTGACTTGCAGAGTTGTAATGATAAAATCACATAAAGCAAGGTATGTAAACCACCAGCTACATGGTAAGTGTTTCATAAATGATGGCAATTATGCTTATACAAGCAAGCAAAGTATGGGTATGACAAACTGTGAAATGCATTAGTGGTAACTGTCATTGTTTTGTGACAAAAATTCCTGTGAGACCAAATTAGTTTCCCTCTCAGAAAGAATGATAAGTCATAGATAGCAGGAGCTTTGACTTGAAGGTTGGCAAATGGACGCAGTTTATGCTGAGGAAGGCTATATGGTTTAGATCAACTCTCTCCCCCAGGGAATGCGCCCATCATTTCCTTGGGAAAACCAACTTTGGGGATAATGCTGTGCCTGTGGGAGGGTGTTCAGAGGAGCAGACCTCCTCAGCAGGGGGAGATCAACAGTGAACTGCCCTTTGTAAAGTGCCACTATACATCAGGGTAGGCTGAGAGGGGTAGAGGGGGAGGGATGGACTGGGTTTAACTCCACAGGAAGTGTGGACAGGCTCACGGGCATGCAGATGCAGGCCTATGACCTCACTGTAGTTCCTTCTGCATCACAAAACTGAGATATACAGCCTTTCAAGCAGTCTTGGGACCCAGAACTCAGAGAGCACAAGGGTATGTGTGCATCGAAACCAGCACTCCTGACATCTTGATCCAGGGCTGCATGATGTGGGGGCAGGCATATGTTTGTCCTGTGCACTGTCTTGGGCATCCTGCAAGGGCAATGCCAGCAGGAGAATCAGTTAGGGAGAAACCTTCTCAAATAAGCTGTGGTTGGTTTCCTTTTGTCTCAACACAAGCTGTTCCCGCATCTGAACAATGTTCCCAGAGAAGGGCCAAGTGGTCAGTGCGGGGCCACAATAGCGTGGAGCAAAGGTTTCCCAGGAGAAAATCCTCTGCTCAGCGGCGTCCTGTCAGGTACTGGGGAATAAACATGAACGAAGTTTACAAACACAGGGGCAATGCTGGTTACTTTTGGTCAACTTCGGAAGAGTGAACCTCAATGGAGGAACTATCTCCATTGGGTTGTCTGGTGGGCATGCCTATGCGGCCATTTTCTTGATTGCCAATTGATGTGGGAGAGCTCATCCTGCGCAGGTTGTACTGGGTTATATAAGAAAGCAGGCTGACACTCCTCCTCACCCCTTGCCACCTTGGCAGGCAGGGGAGCTGGCCCTGGGGTCACAAGACTGGGAGAGCTGCCCCTGCCTCTCAGCAGCTGCAGCACTCAAGAGAGTGGGCCCTGTACCTCACCCAGGCAGCACCCTAGATCTGACCCTATTGGTGGAGACACGGGTGAGCCACCCCTGAGCGTGTGAGAGCAGGAGAGCAGACTCTGTCCCTGCTAGTCTGCCATGTGGTGGCATGGATGAGGGAAAGGTGCCCTCACCCTCCTCTTCCTCTGCCACCGGTCTAAGGAGGGGGATGAGAGCAGGAGACCTATCCTACCCCTCATCAATTGCAGCACTCGGAAGAGTGGGTCCTGCACCTCTGCTGGGCAAAACAGGAGAGCTGGCGCTGGTGGTATGGGTGCAGGAGAGCCGGACCTGAGGGCATGAGAGCTGCAGAACTGGACCCGTTCCTTGCTGCCTGCTGCGCTGGGTGAGCTAGCCAGGGCAGTGCTGGAGAGCTCGCCCTGGTGGTGACGCTGAGGGAAAGCTGGTGGGCTGGCCAGCCTAGCTACCACCCAGGCCCAGAACCCAGGCTATGAGTTAGCTCCCTCCAACATCCATGTTATCTATGAACTGCTGGAGCATGTCAAGGGGCCAGACCTGCAGATCCAAAGCTGCTGGATCTCCACAACACAAGGCAACAACGGGATATTCAAGAGAGTGCCAGTGAGGGTCTAGTGTTGACAGCGTAGCAGAAGCCAGATGCCTCAGACTAGACCAGTGACTCATTGCAATGAACACTTGCAAGTGAACATGTAAGGATTAAAGGGTATACTGTGTGACTCATCACGGCACATTACAGCTTTTTTTCATTTTTCTTTTTCATTCTATTTTTTGGGGAGAGGTTGCAAGGGCAGAGGGCAGATACAAAGAGATGGGGAGATGAATGGGATCAGGATGCATGATGTGGAATCCACACACACACAAAATCAATAAAAAGGTTAGTGAGTGAATGAATGAATGAATGAATGAATGAATGAAGCAGGTTGAGAAAGCCATAGAGGGCCAGCCCATACAGTGTTCCTTCATGGCGTTTGCTTCAGCTCCTGCCTCCAGTTCCTGCTTTGGTTTCCCTCCTTGATTGCACTGACTGACTTTGTGTGTCAACTTGACACAAGCTAGAGTCCTCAGAGAGGAAGGAGCCTCCCCTGAGGAAATGCCTCCATGAGATCCAGCTGTAAGGCATTTTCTCAATTAGTCATCAGTGGGGGAGGGCCCTGCCCACGGTGGGTGGTGCCATCCCTGGGCTGGTGGTCCTGGGCGCTATAAGAAAGCAGGTTGAGCAAACCCGGGGAAACAAGCCAGTGAACAGCACTCCTCCATGGCCTCTGCATCAGCTCCTGCCTTCATGGTTCTGCCCTGTTTGAGTTCCTGTCCTGATTTTCCTCAATAACGAGGATGTGGAAGTATCAACCAAATTAACCCTTTCCTCCCCAACTTGCTTTTTGGTCATGGTGTTTCGTCACAGCAATAGAAGCCCTAATTAACACAACAAAGCAAACCCTTTCCTTCTCAAGTTGTGTTTGATTATTGTGGTGCTTTGAATGAAAATAACCCTCATAGGCCCACAGGGAGCAGTGCTATTAGGAGGTCTAACCTTGTTGGAGGAAGTGTGTCACTGGGGGTGGGCGTTGAGATTTCAGAAGCTCAAGCCAGGCCCAGTGTCTGCTCTCTCTTCCTGCTGCCTTCAGATCCAGACGTAGAACTCGCAGCTGCCTCTCCTGCACCATGTCTGCCTGCATGCTGCCATGCTTCCTGTCGTGATGATAATGAACTAAACTTCCGAACTGTAAGCCAGCCTCAATTCAATGCTTTCCTTTCTAAGAGTTGCTGTGGTCATGATGTCTTTTCACAGCAATGGAAACCCTAACTAAGACAGTCAGGTTTATCCCAGGAACAGAAACCAAATAAGAACAGGGGCAGAAGCTGTTTCAGCCACGCCCATCAGCAGTTCATTGGGAATACAGCCCTTCTGAAGGCAGGGTCAGTGGTGCTTATGACCTGGTTGGAAGGCAAGCCTGTGGAGAGTTGAGTGATGGGGGATGTCCTTCTGTATGCCGTGAATATATGTTTCTGTTAATGGTTGATGAGTAAAGCTGTTTTGGCCAATGGGCAGGCAGCATGTAGCCATGTGGGGCTACCAGACTAGGAGAATTCTGGGAGAAGGAACACAGAGAGGAGTCTTGAGAGACACACCATGTAGCTGCTGAGGAAGATATACATCTGGGCATCACTTGTAAACTAAGACCACGTGGAGATACACAGATTAATAGAAATGGGTTAATAATTAAGACAGAGCTAGTCAATAAGACTAACTTGAGTCTGACTAGTCAATAAGCCTGAGCTATTGGCCAAACAGTTTATGATTAACGGAAGTCTCTGTGTGTTTATTTGGGACTAAATGGCTGTGGGACCAAGTGGGACAGAAACTCCATCTAAAGTTGAGAACCCAGGAATACCTTGAGTTCCAGACAGTGGTTGGAAAGGTGTCAGTGTGTGAGTTAATCCTTCTTCCCCTATTATGCACATATACATAAGACCCCAAATCTGTCCCTCTGCTTCCAGAGAGAATGGAACCTGCATGTTGGTCTGTTGCAGTGGCTTTCACTGGGGCAGTTTTCTTCCCACAGGGAATATGTGGCAACGTCTAGAGGCATCTTTGGTTGTCATAACTAGAGGAGTGTCTGGCTGTCATCTAGTGTGACAATCCAGGGACACTGCTAAATATCCTAAGGTATAGAGTGCCCCCCCAACACAACTATTCAGTCCCAGTTCAAAGATGACATGAGTGTTAAGCGTATGGAACCCTGGTATGGTGCAAATGGAGGAGGTGTGTTCCTGGCACCAGTGTAGGATGTACTGGGGATGGGGCAGGGCTAATGTGTGACCTTTCCTTGGTGACAAATATGGGAGAGAGGGTGGTGGGATGGTAAAAATTCTGGAGCATGAATGAGCACAAACAAATACCAGAGAAAGGGTGGTAGGAAGGGACATAAAAGAGCAAAAATGGAGCTCCAGGCCAACCCCTCAAGGTAGATAGAAGGAGAAGGGCAGAGTTTTTCATTTGAAGTCAACTCTTACTTATTTAAAAGCGATTTCCTTAAGCACATAATTATATGTTTATTTCCCTAAGGAACTCTTGAGGCAGAGGAGACTTGCTTAAATTATGGGGAGGGAACTGCACACAGGGCTTTAATGGGGTTAGAAAAATTTTCTGTCTCCTTCAAAGGAGCCTGGGGAGGAAGGTAAGAGCAGACTCTGCTCTGGCAGTGCAGAGGATATGGGGAGGGACAGACGACAGAGAGGCCCAGGACCGGGCCCATGGCCCAGTTGACCCATGCAGGTGAAGAGACATACTCTGGGCACAGCAGCAGGGGCAGAGGAAATGCACCTTCCACTCTACTCCTGGGCCATGCCCTCCTCAGGAAAACATTACACAGTCATGCACACTCCCTTGGAGGATGGTCTGGTTTGCAGCATGGGCAGGCGTTCGAACGGCAGGGTATGTGGAGCTTTTGGTGATAGGAAGGCCAGGGTTTCATGCAGTATATACTTCCTCTTTCCCAGTCACAGCCTGAGTGCCTGGACTTTTTGAGTTTCTTCTCTTTGGCTTATATATTCCCTTGGGAGGGCTATATAGGACCCAAGGAAGTCATTAAGGAATGGATCCCCTACATTAGACACAGAAAGGATTCTAGGTGAGGGCATCTTGCATTTCTTGCTTAACTAACTCTTTTGTGGAAGAGTGAGCAGGATAATGTTTAGTTAGGGGCAGCAGAGGATGGGGAGAGAAGTATGGGGGAGGGCATGGCATAGGTGCAGCTCTGGTCTGCATTACAACAGTTGGAGGCTATCGGGGAATTCTTGACTATTCTTTCCTGTGTCTGGAATAGTAGAGATGGCCTTAGTATCTGCCATGTGGGAATGGACTGCTACTACCCACCTTCTCCAGAAGGCTTGGGCTCCTGAGAGTAGGAATCATGTTTTATTTTGCTGCGGGACTTCCGCCTCTAACAGCGCCTACTTCACACAGGCGCTCGATGTATATCTCAGGGTGAATCTCCCTTACTCAGTTCAGCCTATTACGGCAGCAGACAGGGCAAAAATTCAGACTGACATCATAAGAGTCCATTGGGCTCATGTATGATATTCATCTCCTCTCTCGGAAAGTCCAAAGTGTGGTGCTAATGGCGGAATGGAGTCCTACAGGGGACAAGTGAAGAGGTTAACCCCTGAGAAACATGGCCAAGAGTCACAGCCCTGGAGCTATTTATTTGACTACTTAATATGCATTCTGTATAGCCACCAAGACTCAGTTCTGGCATTCCTTGGCTTGAGGCTGGGGACGACACAGGGGCTGGAGGTAATAGATGAGCTAATACACCTGAGGCTGCTAAGAGGTGGCCAGCTCCCGAGGGAGGGGGGGAGAGGGGTGGAGGAGAGGAAGAGGGGGAGAGGAGGAGGAGAAAGACATCTCTGATACCCAAGTCTCTGTACCCTGAGAAGGTGACCCAAGTGGAGATGAGCCTCCACTGGGGCTGCTTGGAGCTGGGTGGCCAGAGACATGGATCTCTTTCATTGACCAATTCTCCAGAAAGCATATCACATATGTTTAGGGGACAGCACCTAGAATTTCAACATCTTCAAGGAGACAAAAGTGTGTGTTGCAGCCCTGGCCTATCCTACTTTTCAGAATTGTGACCACAGGCTTTTCTGAGCTCTAGCCACCTCATTTGAAGAACAGAAATGGTTTTTATCTCTTCTGGGACCCAGGGCTACATGGAGTTGATGATGTATTGGGAGTGCTGTGTAAATGCTATGCCGTGTAAATAAGTTCTTATAAGTTATTAAATCATATTCATGGGGTCTCAGCCATCCTGTCAATCAGGTTATGGCTTCAGGGAAAAACTTCTGTCCAGTAGGAGGCAAAGGGAGCTGAAGCTGTAGAACTTTCCTTCCACCCTGGCCACATTCTCCATATGCAGCGGGAGACGGGGAGCTGACCAGTCCCTTATTTTGTTCGCTGGTAGAACTGAAAGACAGCTTTCTCTTGTTCATAGGTCTCAATGGATCCTGGCCGCAGGCGCCGAATCTCAGCAATGGCATCTCCTGCAGCCAAGCCCTGCTCCTTCACCAGGTAGCAGGCCAGCATGGTGCCAGTGCGGCCAAATCCCAGGGCACAGTGCACTCCGACAGCCTGTGAAGAGGAAACCGATGGAGTGGAGGCCACTGCCCTCCCCGACAGTCTCCTGTCCCCACTGAAAGGTACTGTCCTTCCCACAGATCGCAGGCCCTCGGAGGACAAGTGACATCAACACCGTTGAGGACTGTCCTTGCTTCTGGTGACATGTGGCTGGTTCCCAAGCTGGGCTCTCCGCCTGCATCCCCTGCCCCCTCTATCTGTGCTGTCCAGTGCAGAACACTCAGCCACTTGTGGTATTTTACCTGAAATGTGTCAGTCCAAATTGAGCTTGTGTGTAAAATATTTACCAGGCTCTGAAGATGTGGCACGAAAAAGACTGCAAATGCCTCACTAATAATTTATTTCACATTGATTCTATGTTGAAATAATATTTTTGACTTATTGGATTAGCAGCAAAATTAACTCCACCTGCTTCCTTTCATCTTTTTAAGAAACGTAGCTGCTAGTAAAATTTAAAGTTACAAGTGTGTCTCCATGACATATGAACCTCTAGAAAATGGGTTGTGAACCACTCCCCCCCTGGCTTCGGCGCTCCGCCGACTCCTGGAAGTATCTCACTGGACAGTGCTCTCTCCAGCCCGCCTGGCATCACCTTCCCTCTCTCTAGCAGCAAGGCTGACTCTGGTCAGCGGATGGGAGACCAGCCCGGTCCCACCAGGCTCCGCCCCACCCACCCCGCCCCACCCACCCCGCCCACGGCCTCTCCCTCTCCATTCTGACTCCACCCTCCCGCCCCGGCCCCGCCCACTCATTTCCGTCCCGGGTCCGCCCTTTCGCTTTGGCTCCCACGCGCTGACCTCTCCCCGGGCGTTGGCGTCGTCCACGATCTTCACAAATTGGTCGATCTGTTCCGGGGCCGGCGGGCAAAAGTCAGGGATGCGGAGTCGGTGCAGCGTGAGGCCCGGGCAGCTGTCGCTGTGGGGGGGCCCGCGCTCCGTCAGGGACACCAGGTGCCGCACGCCCAGGTCCAGCAGGAACTGGTAGTGCGCGGGGAGCCGCGGCAGCGCCAGCCCGGCCAGCCGGCCCGGGAGCACCCAGGAGAAGTTGGGGGGCTGCACGCCCATCGCGGGGGGGAGGGCACTCGGGGTGAGGCTAGCTTTTCCTATTCCGCCTTTGCGACCCGGTCACCCCCTAGCGGGCCACGTGGTCCCCCGGGCCCGCCCCAGTGACGTTCCTCTCCACCCAGGGTTGGCTGCACGGCGGGGGCGGGGCTAAGACGGCTCCTAGACAGGCCGAGCCCTGCGGTCCCACTGGTCCCGCTGATTCGGAGCGGGATCCTCGTTGATAGGTTGGATAATCAACAAGCTCGGCTATTGCAGCCGGGAGCGAATACACTAAGGAAACCTGGAACAAGTTAATTGCTCCTGTAGATGAATCAACCTAGGGCTGGGCTCTGCTGCTCCCTGGTGGTTTGTGGTAGTTACTGCACGGTGGGCCAGCTGCCCCTGCCACTCTTTAGGGCCTAGTCTCCCCTTCACCGTTTATACACAAGGGTTTAAATAGGTGGCAAAGCCACCTCCACCCGGTTACGCAGATGTGGGTGGGTAGTCTCCCTAATGACCAAGCAGTCATTGTTGGTGTCTTCTTGGGTCCTCCTAGTAAGAGGGAATTATTTGCTGTTGCTGGGACTGTTAAAAAAAGGCCGTGGAGAGGGGGTGCTGGTATGTGGCACCTTGAAATGTCACTCAGGGTGATATAGTAATGACAGTCAGCAACGTAAGAGCTAGCAATAATTGGGCATTTGCTTTGTGGTATGAACTCGTGCAAGCACTTTTAATATGTTAACGAATTGTCACAAGATAGGTGGTCAAAGCAACCCCATTTTAGAGATGAGAAGACTGAGGCACAGAGGAGATTAAGGTTCTCTAGAATTGCCAACAGCACAGCACTTTCCTACAGTCAAACAGGAAATGGCATTTCTGTCACACAACTGCCTTCACACCTTTCCAAACACTGTCTTATCCCTGGGCATTTTTAAAATTTTATTCACAGTTGAGACATCTCCATTCAAGGTCCCGCTCCCTGAGTCACTCTAGCCTGGGTTAGACAGAGTTTACCCACGTTGTTCTTGGGGTGTGTGTGCAGACCTCTATCTCCAGCAGCGTCTCACCCAGGTTCGGGGAAGTGCGTGCTGTCTTCTGGACGAGGTACCGGTGAATCTGACTACCAGTATTTATGGGCATTGTTAGCGCTGTGCCAGGCCCTTTCTGTGCTGTGTGCTTTCTCAAATAACCAAGTGTGGACAGTGTTTTTGTATCCTTTTTGTACACCAGTAACCAGAGGCCTAGAGAATTTGGTTAACTTGGCCAAGGACGCACTGATCTAAGCCCACAGCACCTGGCCATGAAGATGAACGTCCCTCTTCTGTTACTAGCTAGAGTCATTCGGGTGAGAATCTGGGCCTTGGCAACCGTAACCAGCCGGGCTTGGCTCCTTGTCCTCAACGGGCCAGTTAAATAAAGTTGACAATGAAAGAAGGGGGAGGCTTCTTCAGTGTGCTACATTAGTAAGTGGAAAAAAGATCCCCCCCCCCAACTCTACCTTTGGTGTCCTGGCGTGAGGTTCAGGTTTAAGTGCAGGCCAAGAGTTATGCATACCTGAGTATTCCTGGCCAGGGTGTGGTCCTGCCCATCACCATAACCTCTCTAGTCTCTCATATGAGATGGGTTATCAGAGCTTGTGGAATCTTTCTGGGAGATCCATTCCCCATCTAGCAGACATCAGGCTCCCTCCCAGCCTTTTCCTTCCCCAGCTTGAGACTCCTGGGGACATTTCAGCATCTTGGAGTCCATTGCTTCAGCCTAACAGAGGGACACAAGTGTTTCTAGAATATCTTCATTGCTGCCCATGACGTAAAGTTATCCCGTGGCTTCAGCAAAGTCTAAGTTCTTGTTCCCTGCGGTAGACAGCCTATGCAGACAACTGCTGTTCCACATTTCAGGAGAGCATTCTCCTGCCAGGTCTCCCCTTCCCATGGAGTCCCGATGAAAGACTTCCGGCTGGCACTGCCTCTTCCCCAGAGTTCTCTGTCTTCCTAGCTGCCTAGTTTTCCTCCTGTGAGGAGCTGGGCTTGTGAGCTCATCCCTCCTCGGGTCTGCCTTCTCTCTCCCTCTGTTCCTTCCGCTTGTCAGGGAAGAACCTCCCACAAGGTTTCCTTGCCCGTCCCTCATCTCCTTGCATTCTGTGCCCATCCCTTATCTCCTTGCTATAGAGCTCCAAGCCCGTCTTCTCCAGTGGGAGAGCGTTTTGAGGGAGACAGATTCCTCTCTCTCTCAAGCCCCTGGACTGTAGCAGTGTGCTTTCTCTCCCATGGATCTCTGGGAGGCTAAAAGCACTCTGCCGCTCCCACCTGGGCTTCTCTATGGAAAGGCAAGTTGGCTCCCTCTCCATAGTTGCTCATCCGTGTCTCCCTCCAGGGAGGAAAGGTCTCGGAGTCCCTGTCTCAGCTGTGCCGCAATACCAGGGGTCTCACTTAATTTTCTGTTTTGGCCGAGTGTGTCCGTGAGAAAAGCCTCTGGCTAGTTCTGACTAGGTCTCCTGCCACTAACTAACCATGTCGGCCCCTTCCACAATCCCAGCAGAAGCCTTCAGTCTGTTTGGGGTTACCTGGGCCTCAGGAGGGCTTAGGCTCTGCCTCACTCACCTCCTACTGTGGAGTTACTCTGATGAGCCCAGGTTTCCTGGTTTCACTGGAACCAAGACTGAGTGATTGAATCTTTTCATTCTACTTGGAGCCTGAACATGGTGTTCAGAATGTTAGGAAAATGGGTGGGAAAAATAAGCAGATTGTACAGGCAAGACATACACCAAGAGACTGTGAGTCTCCAGGGTGTTTGTGGACTTTTTCACTTGAATGAGGACTGTAGGCTTCAACGGACGCTGTAACGATACACGACACACAATTACTGACAGTAAAGCTAAGTATTTAATGTAGAAAATTACTCACAAGATACCAAACCCAGAGGAGCCAAGCAGTTCTCAGCTAGCTGCCAGACCGGAAGCCGAACTCCAGGAAAAGAGACCGAGACTTCCTGTGTGCTGTCTTTTATGCCTTCCCCCGTAACGCCCCTAGCCATGCCCAAAAGTGGGCCTGGCTAGTGATGTAGTTCCGCCTACGTACATATACGTCTTTACGTCCAGCCGTATACGTCTTTAGTCCTGCCTAAAGTGGGTGTGGTTAGCGGTGTGGTAAACCGCCCTTTTATTACCTCATCTGTATGCGCCTCTAATAAGTCACATGTTTAATGGCAGCATCAGACTTCCTCCTACAGAGGACTGCGTTGGATGTTATGTGCAACTTTTTAAAAAACTTCATTTAAAGCTTCATTTTTTATTGCAATATAATTCACACACTAAACATGCTATGTATGTGCACCACACCAGTGAATTTTTACACATGTATATACTCACACAACCACCATTTAAAATAGATAAAGAACGTGCCTCCATATTAATTTGATGATTTATTTGTTGAGTTTATGCTTTTATTTTCTGAGAGGCTTAGTTTTTTCTTTTTGACAATTTCATACAAAGACTGCCATCCTTTTCCATCCCATTCATCTCCCTCTTTTGCAAGATGAGTCTCCATCTTGTAGACCCCCCCTTCCTGTCTCTCCCTTTAAGAAAGCTATTCTCCATTTAATTACTATTTTTGTAAAAGGGCCACGTTTCTTGGTCTTTATGGGCACGGTCCCTATTATATGCTCACCTGTTGGTAGTATGTGGGTGTGTATGTGCTGAGGGACATGTTTTTGGGGCAGCAATAAGCTTTAGTAATTTTTCTACTTCAAGGAATGCATGACATACTTGGGGGGATTGAGACACAGATATAATTATTCCCAGAACATGTAATAACTACTAAACTGCTCATCAAAGCAATTGTCATTATCTGACGATCAGATAATATATAGTCCAAAGCTAATTGTGCAATGAAAATAACAAGCATGAGAGAAATCAGCCCGGGTGGGGGGGAAGCTTGGATTGGAACCACTCAAGTTTCTAAAGACAGGCTTTTCCTTTTCCATTTCATTCTCTGTCCTTTCATAAGCTCAGTGGAATGGTTTTAGCATGTCCTAACTACCCATCCTCTAGTTTATAATGATGTTTTGACTTAATTCTTGCGTATATTTGTGTGTGTGTGTGTGCATGCATGTGCGTGCCTGTCTTAGTTACTTTTCTACTTCTATGCTAAGACATCATGACAAAGATAACTTATAAGGTAAAAGGTTTTGTCTGGGGCGTACAATGGTTCCAGAGGGTCAGCTCTCATTAATATTATGGTGGGGAGCGTGGCAACAGGCGGGTGAGCATGCAGGCATAGCACTGGAGTAGTAGCTGAGAGCTCACATCTCATTCCACAAGCATGGGGTGGGCGGAGAGCGGGAGAGGGAGGGAGGGAGGGAGACTGGGAATGGCATGGGCTTATGCATTTATTTATTTATTTGTTTATTTATGTATTCTAAGTGTCTTTTCATTATGTATCTTGATCCCATCCATTTCCCTGTCCCTTCAAATCTGCCCTCCACACCAGCACACTGCCCTAACAAACCAAAACTTAGGAGAAAAAAAAAGGAAAGAAAAAAGAAAAGAAAAAAAGTGGAAAAAACTTAAAAATCTCATTGTGGAAGCTGCAGTGTGACATAGTATTATGCCGTGAACGCTTAGTACCTTGCAGAGTCATTGGTCTGGCTCGAGGCCTCTGGTTTCTGCTACCCTATTGATGCTGGGCCCTCACTAGGACTCCTCCTGGATGTCCCATTGTTGTCCTGTGTGGTGGAGATCCTCCAGCTTTGGGCCTGCAGGTCAGGTCTCTTCATAGATGGGGTGGATGATGGGACGGGCCAACTCATTACCCTGGTTCTGGGCCTGGGCAGCTGTAGGGTTGGTCTGTCAGATGTGAAATGGGGACATCTCTCCCATGCTTACAACCTGGTGGGGTCAGGAGAGCTCTCCCACTCTTATGACCACAGGGCCAGCTCTCCCACCTGCCCCAGGTGATGTTGAGTGAGGGGTGGAGAAGGAGGGCAGCTCTCCCCCACCCATGCTACCACCAGACAGATGGGGAATGGGCACAGCTTTTCCATGCTCACACTTTCAGGCCTGGCTCACCCACACCTGTGCTCACAGGGATGGCTCGATTGTGCTGCCCTGGCAAGGTGCAGGGCCTGCTCT